CGTGAACAAGGGGAATTAGGGACGTGCAAAAAATGTTCACTACTACACGCGGCATGCTTTACAAATTTTGTGTATCTCCCTTTCACTCCTTCTTTCTAACCACACTTAGTGGATGCATATACACAAATGAGTATGCCAACAAATGGGATGCCACTTTAATGCTAACACTGTGTAAATGCCTCACTATCGTCTTGCGAAGATTTTGCCAAATTTGTGTTTATGCTGGTCTCCATCAGTATGCTCGAGTATGCGCGAGTTTACGGCGTTCGCCTTCTGATTAAACTCTTCCTGTTCTGAAAAAAGTTTTGCATATCATTTCTTCCGTTATTTTTTTTTTCTTGCAAAAATGGCATAAAAAACGCTTTTGAATAGTTTTTTTTTTCGCGGTACATGTGTTGAAATGTTAACGTCTTTTCCGCTTTCCTTCTTCGTAACCTTCAATTTTAATTTAATTTTTGCAATTCGTACGTCACGCGTGCTACGCCCTCTTCGCTGGCATCGAAGTGAAGTCACACTTGGAATGTCCCGCATTTCCTTTTCCACACATACACAATGTGAATGGGTCAATGTTTATATACACATGGCACATTATGTAAACCATGTTTTTGATGCCCTTTGGTGTAGATGTTTGCACGGATATGTTCGTATCCCTAATAGTATCGCATCGAGCAAAGGTTTTCTCTTTTTTTTACACATGCGCATTTTCCCCCCCTTGCCATTTGTTTACTGTTCCGTTCAAAATAAATTTTGAAGAATGCAAAAGGAAAAAAAAAAAAAAAAAAGAAAAAAAAAAATAGAAACAAAAAAAGATTTAACTGCTCTTGTTTTCAAATAGGCGACATAACTGTTATGCTTAAGTGTTACTGCGCTATTCGTGTCACTCCAGCATAAGTTTTCTCGTAGGTATATCGCCTTATGTGTTTCTTTTTTTCCTCCACTTTTTGGGGTTGCTATGTTTTTTTTTTCTTTTCTTTCATATATTTACGCTTTATTCAATTTTTTAAATCTAAGCGAAAAACTAAACAAAAGGAACGTGCGAGCGGCATGCTTCTCACAGGAAATACGCATTTTCACCCCTCATATATGCGCGTCACTTATGTTAGTTTTTGCCTATTGTTCTTCCCCTTTTCATGCTTTCGCCACACGGCTATTGTACCTGGTCAAATCGTTCTAGCAAAACAGCACGTGCCCTTGTATACATATAAATTTGCTTCCTTTTTTGTGTGACTGCATGCTTGTATATATGTGTTTTTTTCTTTTTTTTTTTTAAACAAGGATGTATGACTGGGATATAGTTTCCCTCGAGCTGAATTTCAAAGGTGAACTTTGAAAAGATAACTCTACGCCACTGTTCTGGAAGTAGGAAAAAGCCTTTTCGCCCCCTACGCACGTAGCCACACATAAACATGTGCATATTATATATATAGGAAATCTTCGATTCAACATTTTCCCTCCCGCGGTGGTCAAAATAGAGTGATAGTATAAACTCCGCATGGACCATTTGCGTTTATACAAATGCATGATTTGTTTTTTTCTTAACCTCTTGACATTTTCAACTGAACACACAAAAAGGGGAGGAAAAATATAACAACATAGGTCATATCGTAACAACAGTGCAGTAGCCCTTTGGAAGAATAATTACAGTCATAGGGGTGATAGCAATCCGGAAGGAAGAAGAGACAGACGCGTTTTTTTTTTTTTTTTTTTTACGCCCTCCTCCGTTACTTCCAATTGTAACCAATCGTGCAAATGCTTATGTAATGAGACTACCGCAACGGAGGAAAAAAAAAGAAAAAATAAGTGAAAATGAATGTACTCATTAGAACGTTTATACTCACGGTTGTAATCAAGACGCAACTTATTTTAGGAAGGAGTTTCAGCTACGATAAGCAGAGCTATGTCCCGAAGGTGTACGCTAATTTGCACAGCGCAAGCCCCAATGAGGTTGTGAAAAAGGCGAATAGGACGTGCAGAAATGTTAAGAATAAAAATTATTTTCCCGATTTTGCCAGTTCTGCCAGTTTCGCCAACGTCCGGAGCAGCACCCCCCTGTTCATTAACAACTACAAGCCCAGGTATGATAAGATAAAGAGGGCGGGCACATCCAGCTTCCACATCGCGGATGCCCACAACTACAAAATAAAAACCAGGCAACATGTGATAGACGCACTGAACAAAAAAATAAAGGAGGGAATATTTTCCCTCTTTAATGCTGCAAATAGAGACACCAGCATTTATAGCAACGACGTTGAAAGTAATAAAATTATAGATGACATTTCCTCCAGTGATAAATCTCAAAATAATGGGAAGGAAAATCAAAGTGCATTCGGGAAAGAAGTCCAAGGAAATAACAACAATGTAGGGGAAGGGGCAGACCAAAAAAAACATTGTACCTTTCTAAACAATGTGGTTGAAGGAGGAAAGACAGTGTCCTTGTTAGGGCTTTGGTATGTATGTAACATCTTCTACAACATTGAAAATAAAAAGGCATTAAATTTGTTAAATTTGCCAATTACAATTGCTATAGCGCAAATTTATGTAGGGTTGCCAATCTTCCTAATTCCCTGGGTCCTCAAATTGAGAAATCAACCGGAACTATTCTACGATGAACAGGAAATGAAGAAAATAAGCCTCAGTGATAGAAATGCATTAATAAAGGCATTACAAAAGTATGTACTCTTTTTAAAAAAATATACTAGCATAATGAAGCAAAGTATATATCATGGGTATGCCCACCTCTTATCTGTTATAGCCATGGGAGCTGGGGCAATCAGCTTTGTCCACATTGTTAAAGCATCTTCACCGTTATTTGCAGCTTTCTTCTCATATTTCTTAATGAACAACAGAATGTCTCTTTATACCTATTCTTCCCTACTTCCAATCGTATTTGGTGTGTCCTTGGCGTCAATAAAGGAACTATCATTTACCTACAAGGCGTTATATTCAACCCTGTCAGCCAACGTACTTTCAACCATGAGAGCGATAGAAGCAAAAATTATGATGGATAAAAATCTCGAAAAATTAGGAAAACATTTAACTCCTGAAAATATATTTGCTCTCTTAACTCTGTCCTCTGCAATCTTCTTGACCCCAGCTTTATACCTGGATGCACACAAGTGGAAAGATGCCTATTCCTACTTGATGGAGAACAAGGACGTTTTAAAGGTACTGGGAAGACATGTACTTATGTCCGGTGTGTGGTTTTATCTGTACAATCAGTTATCCTTCATTTCGTTAAACAGATTAAATCATATTACTCACGCCGTGGCCAGCACAGTCAAGAGAGTTTTCTTAATATTAACTAGCTACTTCATATTTGGAACGAAATTTTCCTTTCTTGGTGGACTTGGATCAACTATGGCTGTAAGTGGCACTTTCCTATATTCTCTCGTGAAGAAGAAATTTGGCTAGTTTTTTTTTTTTTTTTTTTTTTCAAAATTGCAAGAATGCAATGGAATCGGTCATATCCCGAGCGGGTCATATATATAGTTACCAGAAAAGAGGGCGTTCCCCTCTCATTTATTTATATGTGTAGATACCCATGCCTATACCTCTTGTTTTTGTTGTTAAAAGAGAGTAAAACAGTACAAGTTGTGCGTACTCCACAGCTGAATGTTACCCACACATATTCGTATATATAAGTTGCGCTTATATTTACACGTGGTGGAAGCGCGCTGCCATTCATGCTTCTCCACACTTGTGAATACTCCTTTATGTATAAAATGTGCCAATTTAAGCACCTTTTTTAAAACACCTTTATGCCAAACCGGCATAGATAGTCATACGTACCATTTCTGTCGATTTTTTTCATTGTACCAACCCTCCTATCTGCACAGACGTCTGCGCAGCACACACGTCTATGTGTATTCCCCCCATGTGCGTCTCCCTCGCATGCATATATATACAGATCATTCGAATTAACAGTTTGCAAATTGTTATCTACCTCCCAAGTAATGCATTTTTTTCCCGCATACAATAATTGTTATTTTTTTATTACTTCACCAGCATTTGCTTTATATTTTGAAAAATATCGCACAATTTTTTTCGCAAAACAGGACTTTATCAACATGTGCGAAATCGCCTAAGGGTGAAATTGCTGTAAATCGCCACGGTATTTTCCGAAAATCGTGTGCAGCATCCCATTTATGCGTTTGCAGGGACATTTTCCACGTGTTATTGGCTACCCACAAGTGGAGCTTCCAATGTTGAATTGTCTTCTTAGCAAAAGGGGGTGATAAAACAGTCCGTTACTGAAAATTGCAGCGGAAACAGCGATGTTCCAAATTATTGCACTCCCCTTTAGCTATAAAAAGTTCCTCGCACCTGCCTCTTTTCATTTCGGCGCAGCGTCCCCCCCTCCTCCAGAGAATGTTCCTAACATTGTAGCATAACATCCACGCTTTGTGACGATACCCTCCCTTCCACTAAAAATTTCACTAGGACAATTTTGAAAAATGTTTAAAATGTGAAGTTAAATGGGTGCGCCTCCACACATGCGCACACCTTGGAACGGCGTTTTAACAATATTATCAAACATCTTTAACACAAAAAAAAAAGAAATCGCGAACACTCAAACAACAATTAACTTCTGTTTCCAATTGAAAAACAAACACGACGTAGGACATATAACATATGGCGTAATAAATTACCCATCTCGTATGACAACATATTTAAATTGATCAAGGCCGGGAAATTAAAAAAAAAAAAAAAAAATACAGTCGGGATGTGCACATTAAAAAGGTAAAAACGCACCCCAGGATTATTTTATGTTAAAATAACGGCGTGGACAACACGGTGAACAAAAAATTCTTCACAACGGATTATGGCGCTGAACTAGAAACCAATATGTACCGGCTGCGCGGGGGTTGTCTCGCTCGACTTCATTCCAATATGTTCTTCTGGATTCCACTTCACTTCTGTTCATTTCTCTTCATTCCTTTTCATTCCATTCTGCTTTGTAACCCCAGAAGGCCATGGCCTTTCAGTTCCCCCTCTCTGCACTAGAGAATAATTATGAAAAACACGAGCGACGTAGTCAACACGGCAATAATTACATACAAAAAATAATTACTGGTATTATTTGTGACTCTTTCGAAAATGTTTCTATTCCTGTTAAGCAAATTGTTCGTCTCATCGACATCCCTGTCTATGTCATCCAACAGTTCATTATGAACTCGCAATTCGTTGTTTATATTGTAGCTGATATTTTTTAAGTTGTGTGTAGTGCCTTCCAGAAAGCTCAGCTGCTCGTCCTGCAACTTCATCAAATTCTTCTGCTTCAGGAGTAACTCCTCCCTGTTCAGATCGTTCAAGTATGAGTCATTCTCGTTGCCCAGGTCGTTTAAAAAATCCATGTTTATGTTGAACGAGGCATCCTAAAAGATGGGGAAACAGACCCACATGCGGGGAAGCATATATGACGCAGATATACATATATGTATGAATGTACACAAACGCGTGGCATTCTTAGGGTAGTTCCATACGGTTTGCCCCATTCCAAAACGTACCTCCTCATTCGTAGAAGCGAAATCCTCATACAAATTCATTATTTCCCTTTTCATTTTTTCCAGTGTGCTCACTTTGTACTTATACTTGGATTCGTTCTTGCTGTACTGTTTGTCATTCTTTATATAATCATTATTTAGCTGGTGCTGCAAGAATCTAACATTTTGATTAAATTCGGTTATTTTGCCCCTTAAAATTGCCCTGTTTTTCGCCTTCTTCTTCTCCTTTTCATTTTGTCTTAATATCTTTTTAATTTCTTTCCCTGTCTGTATGGCCTTCTCATAGTCTTTGTCCCATAAATCCATTTTCTTCTTGATTTATGTGCATGTGTCCTTGACGTGTGAACAAAATATGCTTGCATATGTTCGCGTGTGATTCTCTTAATTGGGTCAAATTAGAAACCTGCTAATATAGCGGTGTAATATATGCGATATACATGTGCGTGGTAGGTATAACATCCCTTTCCTTTAACCCTAATTTGCGTTGTACATGCTTTATGAACATTGGTTTGTTTACAAACGCGAAGAAGGGTATATGTGTCGGTGGTATGCTTATTCGGAGGGAAAGAGTCCCTACTATGGCTCATCATCAAGGGATAAACAACACTTGATTGACAACGTCAGGAATTCAGTCGAAGTGACCCTGCGGGATGGTATTATGTTGGAATTATTCTGCTGGGTAACTTAGCAGATTTCCTTTGGCACGACGTGCATATGTACACACACGTACAGTAATGAGGCAGGTAGGCACAATAATTGCCAAGCATGTTCTGACTCGCCGTAGAATTACAGATGCGCCTTCTTCCCTTGCCTCTTCTACCTCTTGCTCTTTTCCTTCTTTCACAATAAACCTAGCTCTACATTATTTGCGTTATTTTTACTTCTTAAAAAAAAACTTCTGCGTTCCCTTCTTCAAAATTCTGAAACTCGTAAAAATTCTCACAAGTGCGAATGCGGAGTATACGTCAATAAGTAGTACAAATTGCGCTGCCCGTTATTTATATAGGGGAATGTACAAACGCACATTCGCATATAAATATATCCACATGTATATGAACATATATTTATATATGTATGTACGTACCCTACGGGGAGGGATTGTCCGCAGGGTGTGCCAGTTGCTTGCCAAGAAGTACTGGGCCGCGATTCGCAAATTTGTTGTACGTACTAGCTTGCCGCACAAAAGTGCCTCCTTCAAATGACAAAGGAGGAGTTTCTAATTTGGGTAAAACTTAAAAAAAATGTTCAGCCGGGGAAGTATATATATTACATGTTACATATCTTTGTACATCAAATTCGAAGAAAAAATTAATGAATAAAAGCGGCAAAGTGTTATACAACTTCGAAAAATAGCTTTAACTGTTCTCTAATTTTTTTTTTAGTGATCGGAAATAATTGCCCCCAAATGAGTTCGTTCCATAATGGAGATTCCAAAATGTTATCACCTTTGCGGTGAGAAAAAAAGGTCAGAAAATTGTGCCATTTGTTAGTGGTTCATTTGTATGATGTTTTTCCCACTGCGTTACGTGTTTACGGTGCTGCTTTATACTCACCCTTTTTTTTTTCCACACATAAGGGAAACCTTTCTATATATGCTCCGCCAATCGTTGGTGCAAAAAGTTCTATTTGAAGGTGCCTCAAATGGGGAGTGCCAAAAGACTAAGCGGCAAAACGGAGAGGGGGACACATACCAATGTGTGTTGGTGCCTTCTAAATTACTGGACTGTTCTGGGGCAGTCTCCGAACTGACGAAACGGTGCTATGGACATAACATATTTTGTGTATTTGCCGTTTGATATGCCCATGACATGTCTGCCTAAAGATACACATATGACCATCGACTCGATCATATTTCTCAGCAGTTAAACGTCCATCTATTTGCCTTTACATTTTCTCGCCCCCTTTTCGCTCCTTCCAATTTGTTCATCTTCTCATCTTTCATGTACTCTGGCCAGCACTTAGTGGTTCAGATCATGGTTTGGTCCTGTCAGCTTTGTGGACATCCAGAATATGTAAACAATCTCAAAGAAAAAAAAAAAGAAAAAAAAAATACAGCACTGCACTGTACTGAGCTGCGCTGTACAACACCACACAGCAGACGTTTTCCTCTATCCCGGTGTACTCTCTACAAGTGGATATATTAAGTGTCCAAATCGACTTATGTATCCCTTTCATATACATATAAAATACAATTTGGTCACTTTTTGTATCCGTTTTTTAAAGGAAAACTGTTTGGTTTCGCAGAATGTTACGTCCACCGGCTTACAATTCGGGCAATTTAGTTTTTTTCTTCCCACCACTTGGGCATATATAAACGTGGTGTGCAAGAAAAAAAAAAAAAAAAAAATATTCATATGGCTGCTACATGGATTTAAAATTTCTAATTTCTAAAATTAATTAAATTGGGTTATGTTAAACGATAGTATTTTTTATTTTGTTTTTATATTTTTTATTTTTCATTTTACTTTATTTTACTTTTCTCAAAATCACAAACACATTTTTTTTCTTCCGCATATATCATATGATCCAACCTTGCAAAAAGACACCAAACCTCATAAGTGGAAAAACATTGTTTTTATAAGCTTAACAAAGCATAAATCATTTTCTTCACATTTTCCACTTCCCAATTTCTTAACCTTCACTCTTTCCCAAAGGACCTTTTGGTGTTAGTCGCACTGAACTGAAAATTCCCAGCCCAATCCACGTGGGTGACAAAATCGCAAACTGCATTTCCCCGGCGTTTGAACGAATATGTGAAAAAAAAGAAAACGCCAATACAGATATACATGAAAATAGCATTATAGGCATGTGCCTAAATGAGACACGGTCGTATGTGAGACTATACATTTCGCATGGGTTATGTGCAGGTGGCTTTTTATACGGTGCTTCCAATTCCCGTTTGCAGAAAGTTCTTTGCCCCAGGAGTAAAAGCCAAGGCAAAGTGAAGAAGAGCAAGTCGAAGACAAAAAAAAAGCTTCCCAAGGGTCAGGAGAGATACATACCGACGCAGGAAGAAGTGGAAAAAAGAAATGAAGAAATTACGAGGAAACAACAAAGGGGGAACTCGAGAAGACCTCAGAAATGGGGTCCTTGGCACATGGCTCAATGTGCGTGATCGACTTTCAAGTACATAGCTCAGAAAATGAAAAGAAGACCCCAAAGCAGAAGGTCAAAATAGTGGTAGACGAAAAGGTAAAGGAAAAGGAAGCCAAAAAGGAGAAAGAGGAAAAGAAACCAAACAAGGACAAAGAGGATCCCCCCAAGTAATGTCTGCTTGAACGTTATCCCTCCAATGAAGCCCCCATCTTTGTTTAAGTGCTCTGTATTTTTATTCATTCTACCCCCTAATTACGCGGAGTTTGATCACCTCCTTCAAAATTTCCTCTCCCTTTTTTATCTTATTCTTTCCCCAGTGATTACCAACAGGCGCCCCTTAGCAGGGGGGCGCAATTGTACATTAGCTATTTTGATTAGCAAATTTTTTTTTCCCATTACTCTTCTCCTACGGACATCAGTACATTATGAAAAAAAAAAATACAAAGTGAGAGAGAATCTACAGAAAAGAGTTAGCTCTTTATTCATAAATTTTTTGTAGTGTATAATTAGGGTGCACCATAGCTGCGGAAATATGTATTTGTCGCAGGGGAAGTTATATCCGTTTATGGCATTTTTCCAGACATGGTGTAATTTCACGTTGTGCCGTGTCTTTTTGTTTGCTGTTTCTCTATCATCATTGCAACGCATATTTAGATCCATGTCATTATTACATTGTGAGAGTAGTTTTCCTTATATGTGTCTGCATGAAACCAAACCGATAGGGAAGCCGAAAATACATCAAAAATTTTTACGGACGTAATGTGACAAGTAAATTGCCACGTGGAAGCGTAGGACAATGTGCCTTTTCTTAAGGCGCGTTTCACCTTTTAACAATATAAAAGACAAGACGCTTTTAAATGGCCTGAGGGGAAACGTTGCCCTATATACAACATCATCATGTGTGGAAAGTGCATTCCGTTTGAACTCCATTTCGGGGAGGGCTAAACTATACTGTACCTTCAGATGTTTAAAAGAAAAGATGAAATGGGAACGCATGCTTAATTGTGAAAAGAGGGCATGGTCATGTAACCATTTCTCAAATGCTCTTCACAAATTTACGGAGTGAAGAGGAAAAATTGTACATTCATATATGTACATATAGATATGTGCGCATGTGCCCCCATTGTGCAGACACGATAAAGCTCTTATGCATAGTACCGCAGAAAAAAGAAAAAGGCCATATTTTAATGGTAAAAAGTTGAGATGAACTTCTTTGCAATTTTTACGTTATCTGTTCTGCCCCCCTTCTGTTATTCCGTTAGTCAAAGGGGGAGATAAATAGCCTCCTGCTTTTTAAAAAAAAATTGCCATTTCAGGAAGGTAAATTACTCTTTCCAAGCTTCATAGGAATATCAGCGTATTGACAATTTTAATGGGAACTATTTTCCCACTTAACTTTCTCAATCTGGACATAAATTAAAAGGCCCAAATGGACGCCGGGGTGTTGAAGTTTACGGGTTCGTTTGGTAAAAACATTCAGCAAGTCTTTTTCGTTTCATGAAAGGTTCTTATTTGTACATAAAAAAAAAAAATTACAAGACATAGTTATATAAAAGTTACAACCCATTTTTATAATTGAGCAAATAGATATGCCATACGTCTAAAAAAAACAAACTTATCAAAACAAAATTGTGATCCTTTCTTGTTCACATTAACTTTCATTCTTCCCGAACGTCTATAATTACTCTCATCCTGGTATCTTATTACGCATTAACTACAAATTGATAAATTGTACATAAAACGCTCAATAACTGGATTAGCTAAAAGAAAAATCTGAGACTCCTTACAGTAAGAGGGCACTTCAATTTCTAATGACACACGTTTGAACATTCCTACGCGTATGCATAGACGTATGTGTAATGATTAAGAGAACTTGTCACTCATTTTAAAACCCTGAAATGGGGATAATTGTACTTAGGCAAGATGAGTCTTTTTTTTCCCACGTTTACGTCCTTTCATATATATTTTCTTTTCATTCATTGATCATTACAGAAATGGAACTACATATTAAAATGAGCTCTAAAATATTCTTGTTGTTTATTAAAGGCCTTCGATATGTAACTATCGCGAATGACATATATTCTTATGCAAATACCTGAGCAGTCTTTAATTCTACTTTACAGTATCGCATTAGTTAAAGTAGATTCTGTTTTACTTAGCGTCATTTTGACTCGTTTTGCAGCATTTTTCGCTACTGTTCGTAATTTTTCGTGTTTTCCCTACTTCTTCGTACTTTTCGTACTTTTTCGTACATTTCATACTTTTCGTATTTTTTGGTTATTTTTCCTTTTTTACGGCATTTTTGCGCCACTTGGCTTAGTAGTCTTACTGGAAGAAAGAAGGAATAAAAACGAAACTGCTAACAAGGAGATTATATTTTTTTTTTTTAAATATGGGTATAATCCCGCCATGTTCATGTTAATTTTTTCAAATTGGGCAAAGTTGACCATTAAAAAAAAAAAAACGTTTTTAAAATCGTTCATCTGTTCATTCTGTTATTTAAAGGAACAAAATTTACGTTAATACTACAGTACTAAAAAGAAACAAACTTGTTTTTTTTTTTTTTTAACGTGCGAAAAAGAAAAACATAAAATAAAAATTTACGCACATTCCTACATTTTTAAACGCTACAATCTCTTCCCCGTTACGTTATTGATTATCTCGCTTAACGTTTATATGTATAATATATATAAAAATACCTCTACTTACATGTAACATGTGTCAAACTTTAACTGTTTTGCCATTCCTGTTCTTATGTCCCATTCTTTCTCCTCTTTAATTGCGCATACCAAACCAAAGTTTAAATATTTACACAGCTGCGTTCACTTTTCCTTCCTTTGAACATTTCTTTCGGAATACAAGTCACGGTTTGGAAGGTTCAGGAGGGAGAAAACGAGCACTGCCCTACGTTTCCTGGCTGTATTATGCGTACATACATGTACTTGTATCTATAAGTACATGCGCGTTTTGCAACTGCATGGATAACTCTTCCCTGCTTGCCTTTCGCCCTTTTGCAAAGATTGACGAGAAGAGAATAAAACGCTCATAGTTCGGAGCTTGTAGTTTGGAACCGGTAAATTGTAACAGAACTGCTTCCCGCTGAACAGCTGTTTAGTGAGGATTGCCCCAAGTTCGTGTATACGCGAAGGTGTTCGTGCCACATTACGCGCGAGTCTGGTATAAATACGCAACTCTGACGTATGAACACACGAGTTTGACGCATTTGCCCACATCCGCAACACGCATTCACGGAATCTCCACGTCCAGACGCTTAGCTTTGTAAAGTACGCCGGAAAATCGTAGCTGCTTAAATTTGGGTAAGTTTTACTTGTCCACACTGCGTTTTTTGCAAAACTGTGTTGAATTGTTTGCGCTAGTTTCCATAGACATCCAACTTGTGAATTTTTTCAGTTGTTCATATTTTCCCATTTTCTTATTTTTTCTATTTTTTATAACATAAGTGTGCAAATGTAGTGGGTGATGTCACGCGCTTCTTCACCTTTGCCTATGTATACACAAATGCATAACACAAATGTATAGGAAAAAATATAACCACGTAAATATGAGGCTAAGTACACTAGATATGTGCGCAAACGCGTTTATATTTATATATATATTATATACACATATGTACAGTTACGTGCGCACGCGAAATCGCCTTTACACATACGAGAATGATGCATATAATTATTTTTACCTTTGAGCCGCCCGAATGTACGTATAAATGTGGTTGGATTATCTTGCCACGTACTTTTCCCGCCTTTTACCATGTTTCCCCGCTTGTTTATACTTTTTTTTTTTTTCATTTTGAAAAAACATTTTTTTGAGAATGGATTTGCATTAATGTAACATTATTTTTATGAAAGTATAATTTGCGTGGATAATTAAAACTTCTCAAATTTCTCCGTCCTTTTCCCCTTCCTTCCAGAGCTTATTTATTTTTTTTTTTGGCGCACAAAACTGATAATATATGAATAAGCATTACTGTTTTATTTGAACGCTGAAGATCGTACCAAAATGGCAGAAACAGAAAATTCAGTACGCGCATATATCAGGAGAATTTACGTGAAGACGTCACATGTAAGTGAGAGAAAAATTGGAAGGGCATGGTAAATCGCAAATATTTGTGGGGGGTGATGCGACATGAAAAGTGCGAGAGTTCCTTCTTCACGAGGAAGTCGGCCTGGTATGAACGACCCCCCCCAGTCAGCGCTTGTTCTGTCGAATCCCATGCCCCACAAACAGAAGAACCACAACAAATATGATTTGCAAAAATGATGGACGTCTTAGTAGATGTGTTAAACATGATGTGATAATTTATTCCTCCATAATGTATTATGACGATTTGTTAATTGTGCATCCCCTTTTTTTCTTTTTTTCTTTTTTTCTTTTTTTCTTTATCTTTTATTTCCCCCTCTTCAGTTTGTGAAAAACTACATGACCGCCACCGACCAAGAAATGCAGAGCAATGCGGACCCGATAATGGACATCATAGCAACTGCACCAAGTGACTCATTGTACTTTATCGAAAGAATAAATCTCATTTCAGCTGTAATAAGCATCAGCACGTCCTTCCCCTACTTGGCGTATCTAATCATTCACTGGAAGGAGTGCTCATGCAATGAGATCCTGAGATGGTGGATAGTAATTAACAGTTTGCTGCAGCTTGTACAGGCCCCCGTACGATTTTTCCTCTACTTCCTGTTGAGGAAGTATAAGATGGAAAATGAGCGGATGCACATTCACGCGTAAGCGACGAGTTTTTATCTTACCACAACGCATTCGTGTTCCAATGCTATATGTGTGAAGATATGTATTTCTTGCCCCTATATGCGAATCCCATTTGTGTATATGTTATTTAGAGAGTGCTGCGTCTCTACATCATCATTATTACTCATTCGCTCCTGCCCCCCCCCGAAGGCTGAGAAGACTTACGAGCTCCAAGGGATGGAAACTAAGCAAGAGGTTCAGTCTGCTGAACTATTTATGGTTTATTACAGGGACCGTCGTAATGGTGGTGACAAGAAAGTACACGAAGAACTTCTACCTGTGGTTTATATCATGGTCTATTATCCTGTCATGTGTGTTCCGGGTATTCTTTACAGTCATATGGTTCTGCTTCTTTTTTCCATATCATCAAAATGTTCCGAAACAGAAAAAGGGGGTTCCAAAACCCTTTTTCGCAGAAATCCCTACCTTTAAATATTCATCAGATAGAAAATTAAAGAACGAGTCCTGCTCCATTTGCCTATCCGACTTTGTCGAAAAGGATGACATTCTTGAATTAAGATGTTTACACAACTTCCACACAAAGTGCGCCAAGAAGTGGCTCTCCCAGAGGAGACAATGCCCACTCTGCCAAAGAGATGTTATGAAAAATAATTAACTTCTTGTGAAAACATTTGCAGGAACGCTCTTTTTATGTATAACTTTCGGTGGATGCGTATTTATCCCCTGCATTCTACCCCCAGCCCGTGTAAATTATTTGCATATATGTGTACTTCTCCCTGGATAGATGGCACACGATCCTCTCTGTTTTATTAAGTTTCTCCGGCGGTGGCTTCGACATGTGCACAAGGGTACGCGTAAGTGCTTATGTGTACGTGTTTATGTTTACGTGCTTATGTGTACGCGCTTACATGTACACGTATATGAGTACCCGTATTTTGCCTCCTTTTCTCTCTTTTTTTTTATCATCCGCCCACCTGTACTATTACCTCATTCGCTTCTTCCTCTCCCCCTTTTTAATTATTTTTTTTAAATTTACGTAACTATCTCTATACCACCACTTATCATTTGAGGCCCCCCGTATTCATTTTTCGTTTCACTTTTTTTTTTTTAATATGTATTTATTAAGAATGACGTTTTAATGTGTATGTATATATATGTGTAGTGCCTTTCCCTCAAGGTGTCCACAAATATATGTACACCTCCAAGTACACACGTGTACGCCAAGACGTATATATGCCTATGTGTGGTGTACGATCAAGCACGTACTTACGTATGTGTACCCCCCTTCCCCTCTCGTGACTGCATACGTTTGTTTTAATGTGTGCCATTTTCTTTAATCAATGTAACCCTAAGTTATAAAATCCTTTTTGTAAACACATGGATACCAACCGTATTCTGCATAATAATTACCAGCTCTTTAATAGATATATATGTACACCTACGAACTTTATCGAAAGGTGTTTATTTTTGTAAATTCAAATACTTCTTTCCGTCAACCCGTTTTCCCCTCTTTTATGTCGCATGGTTCCAAATGAGGCGAAAAGAACGAAGTATACGAATTAACATTGCCCGCTTCTTCAAAGAAACCCTGCTCCGGACCTTTCGAAAATTTTCGCTTCACCAATTGGAATATCCTTTCTGTGTGCATATTTCCCGTTGGGATAACTTTGCCTGCTCAACCATTTCGTAACCCACTTAGCACTTACACATCGTAAAAGTCTTATAAATCGAACGGCCTACTCCGAACGAATTGAAACGATAGCCTTATGATACCCCACACTGGAGGAAGAGACCCAAACGGGCGGTCTCCCCGCCCCCCCAATGTTGATTAATCGACCAGGATAATCCATAAACACAGTTTGTTTACGCACGAATGTACCGAGGAGGTGCAAAAAATGGGGCATAAAAAAAGAGGGGCTAAAAAAAAAAAAGATTGCCAAACTGAAAAACGGATTGTGTATCCCGATTTTTGCAACTCCATTTAACAGAAACAATTTTCCAATTGGGAAATTTCGTACAGGGAAATAAAAAGACATTCCACGGAGCGGTAATATGTGCACACAAATGAGTGCATCTACATGCATGGATGTGGCGGACCCACCGTGTGTATGGTAAAACGGGGCGATGCCCTCATCCCCAAAAAGTTGTCTCAAAAATTTTTGCCTCCAAAATGTGATTCCCCAAAACGGTTGGCACTTACGCACAAAAAAAAAAAAATAATAAAATGAAAAGCACTACTACTCCACTTCGATCCTGAACAGAGAGCTGCCTTTTAGTATGGCTCCCGGTTTGATTCCTCGATCGGTTTGATAATCGTTAAGGGGTCACAATTATACTCGTGCAACTCTTCATTAAATTTAAATTTGGATATATTGCTAAACACGCTATCCTTCTGAAACGTTTTGGAGGACGACAAAATGGAGGTGGAATTCTCCTGCGTTTTGCTAAAGTCGTTGGTTAAATCGATGGTTACATTATTCGTTGTGTTCACAGATGCATCCATTTCTTCGCTCCTTAAACTTTGTAAAACGCCCATATATTTATTGTACAAATCTTGATTATTTGGGGGGTTATTATTCATTTTTTCCTTTTTAGGATTACTCTCCACGTCTGCTTCCTTGATGTGTGCCTTCTCAAATTTGTTATTGGTTTCTTCTCCAAAGGGGGAGCTCATATTGTTGTAGGAATTGTTTCCTCCCTCTTCGCTATATAATAACTCTTTTTTGTTGCCATTCGGGCTTCTATCACTGGTTCTTCCTACCAGGTCCATTTTGTTGACCATTCCATGTTTTTCTCCCCCCCCATTTTTGCCATAAGAGGAGATTGGCCCTCTCAATTTATTGGCTCCACTCAAAATATGCGAATCGTTGGAGCTGTAGGAAATGGTGTTATAATCTGACTCCTTTTTGAAATTTTTATAATTTAATGGCTCATTTGGTTTCTTTCGACCAGAATGATTATACTGGTCTACACTGCCACTCTGCGCAAAGTCGGAACTGACTGAGTTCAGCAGGATGCTGCTAGTGTTACTATTAGCCTCGTAACTCGTTTGAGAAATAAAATTGTAACTCCTTTTATCCCCCTCCTCATCGTTATAATAGTCCTTGTCATTATCTCCCTCGTTTTTTCTTCCACGTCTACCAATAAAGTTTCGGGATGCCCTGTTGCTTTCCTTATTCTTTGAGGTGGTCATTCGGGAATTATAATCAGAAAGATCACTCTTTTTTTTACTTCCACTTGGATAGTCCTTAAGCTTCTTCTTACTTTTGGACATTTGTAGTGTAGTAATTTTGCGCGATGCCTTCTTCCTCAAAGGATAATCTGCGCTATTTTTTAAAATTTTTGTGTCATAATTCGATTTTTGTAATTGATTTGTTCGATATTTACTATCTTGGCCTTTCCCTTCTGCGTCCACATAATTGTCCGCTTCATCATCCTCGTGGGTGTTGTACGCGGGGTATTTACTTGGATAATCCTTCTTTCCAATTTTCCTATTTTTCATCTTATTCGTCTTCTCCTTCTGGTGATATGTCTTATCATATGGGGGGGAATCCGAGTCGTCCCCACGATATTCATTCGGTGGGTTATTTTTTAGACCATTTTGTGGATCCTTTTTCTGACCACTTTTTGGACCATTTTGCGAACCCCTTCTTGCACCTCCCCCACTAATGACTTCCCCCCTAGTCTCGTCCTCTCTCAGAGACCAATTGGGCTTAAAGTCGAACAGGATATCTTCGTAAGATTCCTTCCTGGTCGTCTTGTCCCTCTTACACTTGCCGCCATTTATGTCGTATGTGTTGTTTTTATTTGTGCCACTCAGTTGGGACGTTCCCCTCACAGATTTGTTTTGATCCTTGGAGTGGCCATTTTTAGCCCCCTTGTTGATAGACTTCAAATTGAAAATGTCTTTTATCTTGGAGCTGTTAAACAGGGAAACGTCGTGGTTGCCCAGGTAGGACGATGAGTTGTCGCTTCCGCAGTACTCGTCCAGGTTGTCGCGCAGTTTGTCCCTGGGCACGGTGGCGCGGCTGCTGCTTCTACTGCTTCTTTTACTGTTCCTTCTGCTGCTGCTACTCCCGCCGCGACTTCCGCTGCCACCCATGTGGGAGCTTTTCTCTCCCTTCCTCCAACTTCCGCTCTTACCGCCGTCGTCATTATTGTTACTCGCGCTGTTTAGAGCTGACAAAGTTAGGCCCTTCAACGTGACCGTCGACTGATCATTGCCCCGGTTCGGGCCTCCCCTTGTCTCACCCTTCTTCCTTCTCTCCTTCTTACTGAAGGAGAGGAAATCCATATTAAAACTTCTACTGTTGGAAGAACTCTCGGATTCTTTCAACCTTTGGTCATTCCCTGATTTGTCGTTTCTTCCCACATAACCTAACTTCTCATCGTAGTGATCATTTTCGTTGCTGTCGCCTACGTTGCTTGCATCGTCCTTCATCTTCTTCTTGGTCAAACTGAGTTCATTAACCCCCTCGTCATCGAGCAGCTCGTTCAGACTGTCTATAATTCCATCTTCTTCATCGTCCCTTATTCTTATTTCTTGTCTGTCCTCTGGGCTATTTTTATATTTTTTTCCAAAACTGTTCTTATTCGAGTTTATAAAGATGGTAAAGTCGTCATCGTAGTCATACATTTCGTTTTCCTCTTTAGAGTGCTCATTATTATTGCAGTTTAGTTGGTAGCATCCTTCCTTTGGTGTGCCACTTTTTGCCTCCTTGCCTTCTTCCGCTGCGGGGTCACTCTCTGAGCGTCTATTTGGGAATCCCTCCCTGTCTATGTGAGCATCCTTTCCCGAAGGGGCACCAACTCCGTCAACACGTACCAACTCCTCTGCGCTACGAAAAAATGTCTTCGAAAAATCGCACAGATTATTCCTCTGATGAGTGTCCAGCTCGGTTTTCAATTTTTCGATAATGATAATATTATCATTATTGTTTATAGTCAGCTCGTCGATTTCTTTCTTCAACCGTTGAATCATTTTTTCATAGGAGTTATATTTCTTCTGCGCTTCCATGTGGAATTCATTATACGCCATGGTTTTTTGTTCGAATTTGTTTTCCTTTTCTTGGAGCAATTCCAACTTGATAGTTTTCTCGTTTAAATTTTCCCTCAACGATTTAATTTCATTTCTTAAGATAATTTCCTGTTCCTTCTTCTGTAGATGCATCTTATTTATTTCGCTAATGTTATTTTGGACATATTTGACATTGTTTTCATATTCACTAAGTTTCTTCCTCAAATCGTGTATAATGCTTTTGCTTTGTATGACTTCATTTTCGTATTGCGTTTTGTCGATGGCTACTTTGGTGAGTGCATCCAATGAATCATCCCTTTGTGTCTTCAGATTGGCGATCTCTATTGACAGCGTCTGTATGTACGTTTCTAAGTTTTTAATTTTATCAACGGACTTTTTCAATTCCGACTGGATCTTTATTGCTGCGTCTTCTATTATCGTTTTTTCTTGTAAAATAATTTTGTAGTCATCTTCGATTTTTTTCAAGTGACTATTTGTTACATTTAGCATGTGAATTTCCTGCTGCAGTTGTTGAATGATTAAGGTGCTGTTTGCATTATGAGATGAATTGCTTATCTGTAAATCCTTATTTTCCTTTAACACTTCATTATATTGTATGGTGAGATCTCCATACTGTTTGTTCACATTTTCTAGCTTTTCCTTAAAACTTTCGATAACTTCATCCTTTTTGTCCAATAGGGATGCAAATTCGTCTATTTGATTGCTGGAATCTATCAAATCCTCCTTTAACTTTTTTATTTCATTTTTATAGACTTCTATCTTCCGCTTTTGTAGTATGTTTCCATCCTTCAGCTCATCAATTTTGTCATTTGCTTCACTCAACTTGTTTAGCAAATTGTGAATATACTCCGTCAGATGTTTCTTCGTTTCGTTCGAAAAAGACATGACGTTATTAAATTCGGCTGACTCCAATTTCAGATTATTTATGGTATTCTTGTTCAGATTAAATTCACTTTCTTTCACTTTGATTTGTTTTTCTAAATTTTTCAGTTCCTCCTTCAGAATGGCAATTTCGCTTTTTTCCTCATGGTATTTCTTTTCATACTTATCGCTTTTTTTTTTTTCTTCCTTCAGTTCTGCTTTGAGTGTTTCCAAGACGGAGTGCAATTCGTGTAGTTCTCTTTCAAGGCCTCTCCTCTTCGTCACCGCTTCGTCTTCCTCGCTAGAATTACCCGATCGACTTTCATCCCTCACGTTGGAGGCCCTATCCTTTTGAACTTCCCCACCTCTGTTATCACCCACCCGATGCAGCTTTTCATACTTCTTCTCCTCCTCGTTCTTCATCTGCAGTTCCGTCTCCAACAGTTTTACCCTGTTTTTGAGATGATAAATTTCTCTGTTTCTCGATTTTACCATTCTGCTTAAATTGCTGTCCTTCCTAACGGAGTCTTCATTTTTCGTCTGCACATCCCCACTTAGGGTGTCCTCATCCGGATCGACGTTAGACATCGTGTGCTCCCGGTTGAGAAGTTCACTTGGAGCGGTTTCACATATGGACTCGTCATCGTTGGACTCCTTTTGCTCCTTAATATCGTTGATCATCCTCAGTTCGTTCAATTTTCGGATTTCAATTTCGTATTCACTTAATCGTTTCTTCAGATGCTCTATTTCTTTGTTTTTCTCCTCCACTAGAATTTCGACCGGAACAAGAAGTTCCTTCCCATTTTGTCCGGTCGAACCCCTTTTCTTTTCGCCCTCTGTGGGAGGATACCTATCCTGCGGCTGCCCGTCATTATTATGCACCGCATTCTTTCCCTCACCATCGTTATCCTTACGCATGCGGTCTATCTCCAGTGTGAACTCTTTACATAAATTCTTGTAGTAGGACAATTCTTTTCCTAACGATAGGGTGTGTTCGTTGATTAGGCTGCTTCCCATTTTACATAACTCCTTTTCCTTTTTCTTAATTTTGTCAATTTCAAAATCGTCAAATGATTTGGTTCTGTTGTTAAAGGAAGAGAAGTCGTCACCAGATACATCCTCGGTGGATTCACCAAATTTGTCTTTCTTTTCATTTTGTAGCATCTCCAAGGTGAACTTCAATTTTTTATTTTCCTTCATATACGTCTCCTTCAACTTGCATTCCTCCTCCACCTGTTTGGACAATTCCGAAATTTTGCGATCGTACTGTTTGGATGCTGTGGATGGGCTATGCTCATTCTGAGCGGTTTGTTTTGACTCATCAGGGACAACTCCAGCACCTACTTGATCAGGCGTCTTGTCCCCTTCTCCGTACTCCCCGCTCAAGAACAAATTGCTGCCGATTTTTCCATCCCCTCCTCCTCTTGCCTCCAATTGAGAGTTTTCCTTTTTCTTCTCATTTACCAACTCTTTGTATTTCCTCTGCGAGTCTTCATACTTATCCGACAGCTTTTGGAAATTCTGAATGGCCTGAATCAAATCATCAAAAATTATTTGCACTAATGGGGTACAGGACAGGCATAAGGACCCCTTATAGTTTAAATTGTTTAATTTTTTTCTTAATTTCTTATAACTTAAATTGTTCTCAACATCGTTTGCCGCTTTTTCCACTGCCCCTTTGTCCACTTTCTCACTTTTGGTGCAATTTCTATTTTCCTTCTCTGGGAAATGTTTCCCTTTTTTTCTCTCTTCTCCGTTTGAACTTTTTCTCATTTTTTGGTTAACCCCTAGGGAGGATGCCCCCTGCTTTGTAAAACATTTTTTCGTTTCACTCTTTTTTGTTCCCCCCTTCAAGTCACTACTTGTGCGTCCTTTCCGTGTTTCCATTTTTTTCCTCACGACGGGGGCATGATGTTACAGGGAGGGAACTACTGTAGAGGGGGGTGCTGCTGTTGCTGCTGCTGGTTCTCCTCTCTATTTTTGGCTACTTGGCCACTCTGCACGTCCAATTTGTTCATACGCTGGGGAAGGATTCCCAAATTGAGAGGTAGGTCGTGTAAATAGAAGAACACACTGCTAACGAGTGCTATTCCTACGTGGTACTCCCTACCAGTCAGTGAGATGCGAAGGCTACTACGTGCCAAATTTATAATTAAACGATGCGCATCATCAATACAGATGATGTATCAGCGCATCTTCAAAAGGGAAAAAAAAAAATTCTTTTTCAAAATAATTTCCAAAAAAAAGTTTACGCCTTATACATGAACAGAGCCTAGTGCCATTAGCAAGTCCTTGGCTGAGTCCAACTGAATTCTGGCCCTTAAAAAATATGCACACATATCCACATGTTTACGTGTGAATGGCTTATTTATTTAAAAAAAAAATTCCGCAATCTTAGGTAGCAAAATTGAATGTGCAAGTTTGCACAAATTTGTAAGTGGAGGAAACTAAGGGGGTGGAAACATGTGGAAACGGCGGAAAAAGCGGAAAAAAAATTCAAAAAAGTGGAGAGAAAAATAAAAGCCGCGAAAATTTATGGAGAATAAAAAAGAAGCCATTTAGAACGTCCGAAAAATTGTGCCACTTAATTACACGAAAGCAAAAATGACATTTTGAATGTCCTTTTTTTTTTTTTTTTTTTTTTGTTTTTTTGTTTTTAAAATTTATTATAAAGCCACAGGCCCAATTTTTTCTTAAATTTTTTTTTTTTTTTTTTTTTTTTTTTGCCAAGTGGAAAATTCCTAGGACATACTGCGTAGTGTGCTTAAAAAGTATTTTTTCCCTCCCTACGGAAAAAAAAGAAATATGATCTCACTTTGTTTATTTTTTTTCTCGGGATGTACTTTTCCTGAATGTGTAAAACATTTTCGCTTTCGTAAATTTTTTAGGAAAATGTAAGGTCTCCCGTCATGTCTGTTTCTTTCTTCCATTTTTTAAGCATTCAGATTTCGCGCATTGAAAAGGACGGCATCTTCTGCCAGCACAAGTAGGAAAATTAGCCTTAACATGTAGAGAAGTGCCGACCATTGACGTTAGCGCAAATATAAAGAACGGGGTAAAGACGTAGACAATTTTGGATGCAAACATTATTTAAAATTTTCGCCTTATGAATTGTTCTCTCACGTTTTTAATCACATTTTTCGTTCGCGAAGATTTCCTTGTTCACTTAACTCTATCTGCAAAAAATTGGAAGCTCACGAAACGCTTGCAAAATGGGGAGACCATCCCACTTGGGTGTCCCCCCCATTTTTTTTTTTTATATTCCTCTTTTCATTTTTCCTAGTATGTGGATAAGAAATGAGTTAACAAAAGTGGCTCCTCTATACATTAACCCCACAACGATTAAAATATACCTTCCAGTGAAACGGTAAAACAAAGGGAAACATCGATACAACCACCTCTCTGTGAAAAAGCAAACGGGGATAAACCCAATCCCCGGTGTTGCAACATCTGAGCACAGTTTGACATGTACACGGGTCCTCCCTTCTCGTTTGTTAACCCGTTCTAGGCCAATTCTCCATGCGTGAATTAAATGTTGTCTCGAAAATGTTTTGCTGATCAGGAAAAGTCAATCACTCAATTTGTGCAAAAAGGGGCCGGCACATCTCAGTCGTAGCAGATATAAATGTCCCAAAAATATGGCATACTCATGTGCACCCCGTTTATTAGCCAACGAAGCGGCCCTCACAGTGCAATTCTTTTCCATTCTGCAATGGGTACAATTGAAGGTGAATCGGTTAGCAGCATAGAAAGGTTTCTTCTCTGCGTTTAACTTAACGGGACGCCGCTTCCATTTGGCGTCAGGCAGCTCGTGAAAGGTTTACTCGTCATAAGGTGTTCCCTCTAACGGAAGCGCATACAAACGAGGATGGGCGAGAATTGATCATAATTTGCTGTTTCCTTATCGAATCACACGCGTAGCAACAAAATGTTGCTGTTTTCCCTCTACGCGTGACGGTAACTCACTGAGAGAAACATCCCCCCCTCTAATTATGTGGGCGAAAACAACGATGTGCCCCCTTGAAAGATAAACTTTCACACCTATATATATCTGCAGCGTACCAAATGTAGAGGGGAAAGCTCACTCAGCTGATGAGCCCGTATCCCCCGTGCTCCCACTCCACAGAGGGGGTCAAACAAATTGGCTCTTACCCTCTCAACAAGATGAAAAGCGAAGCCCCAGTTTGTGTACCTCCAACCGATGAAGTAGATACTAGAAAATGAGTGTAGCTTCGCTTTTTCGCAGCCCCCTAAAGGGTAAACTGCTCAACAAAGTGAAAAACAACAAAGGCTATCTACCATACAGGACGGTGACGAAACGGTTTGGAGAACTTCACCAGCCAAGAACAAAAAGCGAAAAGAAGAGTCACCTCGAAATGATTGACGAAGTGTACTTTGACATGGCGGACGCGATGAGAGAAAAGAACAAACTTGAAATGGAAGAATTTAGCAGCCTACATAGAAACATTTCCGAAATTATATTGAACCATAACACATCTAAGAAGAACGAAGTTGTGAAGAACATCATGCGATACTGCATCGAGTTGAGTCGAAGTAGCAAAACGGACGATCAAAGAAATAAAAAAGAAAAAAAAAAGGGGGGAGACACGACCAAAGTACAAATAATGGAAGAAGGAGCAGAAGAAGTAGAAAAAGAAGTAGAAGAGGAAGAAAAAAAAAAAGACGTCCTAAATATCATCAAGTGCAACATAAAAGACCACTCTAGTCAGTTCAACTCATGCGAAATAGGAATCATCCTGAAGTGCCTCCTCAAAATCAAAGTGAACGATCCATACCTGGTCAACACACTACTGCAACATTATTTTAGGCGAAATATGAAGTTTTCTCAGTATGGGTCTTTATATGTACTGTACGCCTTTGCCAAGTTAAAGCTACTACCTGAGCAGGAAAATAAATTCAAACTGTTGTGCGCAGACATAGTGAAAAAAATTGACAATTTTGAGTTCAAAAATTTATGCTTAATTTGTAACTACTTGTCTGCCTTGTACAACTTTAACAGATTTTACATAAGAAATGTCGTGGAGCAGATATGCTCATATCTTATTGGGAAAAGTTCACACAAGGAACACCCCCATGAGGGACACGCAGGTGTATACCCTGATTCAGTGTGGTGTCCCGATTCGATTCATTACGTGGCGAATGCATGTGCCAGGGTTAACCACTTGAACAAAGAACTGTTTCAGTTTTTGAAGGACAAAATTGAAGAGAAAGCCGCGTACTTTTCCATAGACCAGCTGGTTTCCCTAACCAATGCGTACAGCAAATTCAAAAGTGCAGAAGAGGCAAACTTCCTGACTTTATACATACGTATAGCAGAAGAATTAATAAATAAATCGTATTTGTTGAAACCAAGACATTTGAGCGTTTTAGCCAACTCGTTTAATAATGCATGTGTGCTACATGAAGAACTCTTTCACATCATTACTCAAAATAGTTTACTCCTTTTGAGTTCTTTTGAGCCAAAACAGATCGTAATGATTATACATGCGTACGTAAATATCGGCTTATCAAACAATGCACTTCTAGAGTCCATCTGGAATACTGCCGCGGTATTTATTCACGAGTACACTCTCCAGGAGCTGTCCATGTTGTTGCAGGCCTATACAAAAAGTTCGCAACACCGACAGGATTTCTTCCATCAACTGAGCAGCAAAATTTATTTGCTCCTTACGACGTCTTACCCATTTCTGGAACAAAATGGGACTGTCAATTCTGTAACGTACACTGATCAGAAGTACGTGGAAATGATCGGGAAGGCCAAGGGGTTTGATAATTTAACTCCAGAAAGGATCACATCAGAAAAGCTCTTCTCAATTTTATACCTTCTGTTTAATCACCAATATTATTGCAGTTATGTGGATAACCTCTCAACCAAGCACGGCGCCAAACACGATTGTCGTCTCCATTCCGGGGAGCACATCCAAATTGGGAGCCCTCCAAAGGGACCACCAACAAGGAATGAATTCAATTCAAATAAACATCTTAACAGCTTTAGTGGATACACGTTGAATGACCCAAAAAACGCGTCATACACTTTTTTGACCAGAACCGTGGGGATGGAAGAACTTCCTCAAACTACTCATTGTAGTGGTCATTACAGTGAAACGTCTCCTTTGATCACAACCTTATCTGGTAAAACCAAACAACAGAAAAGTGTCGATCCAAATGAGGATCCGAACCCAGACAGGGGTAACACCCAAGTGAAAGATCTCCATGAGAATCTCTCCCCCAGCGTAAACAACCCCCCGTCCGAGGTACCACAAATAAACTACTCTAACAGCTCAAATAACCATTCCTTGGACACAGACAAAATGGAACAACTGTTAATAACACATCTGAGTAAAGACATAAATTCCACCTTGGTGTGCTCAATAATTTATTCCTTAATTAAAGGGAATTGCTTGCTCCAGTACGACTTGCTCATATGTCTATGCAAATTAGCATTCATCTTTGTCAAGCAGTTTAAAACTTCAGAGCTAGCCAATGTGTGTTCTGCTCTGTCAGAGGCTTACGTACGTGCATCAGATGAAAATAATAGGCAGAATGAGCTCATAGCGAAATGGCAAAATGGGAGGGACTCGGAAGAAACCGCTGATGAGGGAGCTGCTTCGTCTCAAACTGTCTCAACATCAAGCCTGCGGAGCCCCCATGAGAAAAACAAAACTGAAAAGAACGGACCAACCTACGATGAACAGCTGTACAATTCGTCGAAGCAATATTTAATCATGTGCACCCTCTTTTTCGATAACGTGCAATCCCATTTGGGAAAGAAAAAAAGTTCATTTACCGATGTGCACAGTACGTACAAATTGATAACTGCATTCGGCGGTCTGCGGATGAGCAAGTACTCCTCCATATCCTTGCATTTATTTAGGCTCTCCCTCCTGGAGATTAAGAATTTGTCTTATTTGCCCCTCCAGAAGATGGTAATTCATGTGTGAAGCCGCGGTGTAGGAAGTGTGCCTTGTTGGAGGTGCACACCACCGAATATAACCCGATGTCGCCCGATACCACCCAATACCACCACGTTACAGTGCCCTTCTTACATTTCTCCCTCACTAAAATGCTCCCCCTTCTTCGAACCCTGTCCCACAGGCAAACGCGTTCATGGAAATGAACGTCTACAATGAAGACGTCTATGCATTTATAAACAAAATACAAAAGACGAAAAAGAACAAGTGAGCATTGTCATCCGAGTTATTTAGGGACCCCTTTTTTTAAAGTACACCTTTTTTTTTTTTGTGAACAAATCTGAATAGTAATTATTACCGCAACTATTGGCTGTATTTTCCTAATTAGTTTATAGCGTTCCTTTACAAGTGCATAACCTACCAAGAAAATTCTCCACTCATGTGCACATGTCTGCGCTAAGATGTTTTCACAAATGTATCACCCTCTGCACTAATTCCCATTGTACTTCACCATAAATGAACGTGATGTTGAACAATGGAAGGCCACCCTTGAAGTCCCCAATTTTACTCGTCCCGGATTTGTCTGCCTCATTTTTTTGCGTAAAAACATGAATCAAACATTTTGAGATAAATCTAAAAACAAAATTTCAACATCGTCATGTGAACTGCGCAAATGTTGTTTGGTAAAATTGTCAGCTGCTCGGTTCCGTGACTTTGTGCAATCCGTAGAAACGCCACTTCGTATACGCAAAATAGGAAGCGTCGTTTTACGAGAGCATACCAAATAAAGTGATTCGATAGGGCAAATAGACAGTACGGTTCTATTTGGTCTAACAGACTGTTGCAACCGTTTCGGAGTCTCTTTCAGCATGGTCTCCACGATTGATCTATTTTGATGGTGCCTTTACTTTGTGCAAGCATGTGCGCACAGAAAAATTCGTGTATATATATCCGTCCTAGGACCCCCATTTTGTGTGCCTCTTAATCATGTGCAGTTCTTTGTAGCCTCTACATATCTTGTGCCTCCATCTGCTGTAATCTCCCCGTCACAGTACAAATTCTTTTTCAACACGATGGAGGGTTTCATAATGGTAGGTTCGCTCCAATGGATGCGCGCACACACTGCCTCGAAAGTGAAGTGGGGAAAACAAATCAATCAGACGTACATCCTTTTGGTCGTCCTTATTTTATTTCCTATTCTGTTCTGCTCTGTCCATTGGGAATTCCCATTCTACAATGTAAGTTATTTTTAAATAGAGATGATCGGTACTTAAAGGGTGTAGAAAAAAAAAAAATGTATATTCGTGCAAACATAGAAAGAAGGGGATCCTTGAAGAAACCAAACCTTACGCATAAACCCCCATAACCACATACTTAGCTACCCCTCCTATGTAGGTTGCATTTTGACTTCATCAGGACGTGGGGTCTCTTCCCATTGAGGCAAATAATCACATGTATTTTTTTGTACCATCCTTTACTGAAAAGTAATGTAATCCGCATTAGAGAGGAAATGGGAAAACTTGCAGTAACCCATTTAACACATGTAGGTCAAAAAAAAGAAAAAAAAAAAAAAACGCTCATTGCCAAAGCGTATTTCCCCCTAAATGGGATTTTCCTTCGTATACGGATTTATGCCCAGGGAGCGCAAAAATTATTTGTGTAATGTGCAGGGCGGTACAAATAAAAAGAAAGAAGAACATCAACATATACGTTCGGATAATACGCACTACACGTAAGCAGTACATGAAGCTGCATCCCTGAAGTAATAAAAAATAAATGTTCAGACGGTGACGGGACTCGAACCCGCAATCTTCGGTTCCGAAGACCGACGCCTTATCCATTAGGCTACGCCGTCACTATTGTGAAATTGACAACGTAAACTCTGTATCGGATTCTTGATTACTTCCATTATTTGGGTACTTTCTATTTGGTACGTACTTAGCATTTTAAGGAGGAAATTTAAATTCAATTATGCCTTTTCCTGCTTTAAAAAAAAAAGCCTCCTTTTTTTGCTGCGCCTTTGTTCGTGCGTTGGCCAAATTTATGCCCCTTCTAAGCGCTCCTCAACAGCCCGCAGGAAATTTTCAGCGCTAACCAGCAGAAGGCCAGTTTACCCATCCTGTAAATTGTTTATATGCCAATTTTATCACATTAAAATGAAAGGTAAGGAAATGGAGTCAAATAAAACTCAAAAAATAAACGTGTCGAAGCAAGATAATAATGTGAAAATAAAACGTGAAAGGTACGAATGTTTGGCTCCACATGCAGTGGAGAAATGACAAAGCGAGAACTCCCCCGTCGCCCGCTTTCGACAAATAACCAAAGTTAACGAACTCGCAACATTTACAATAAAATGAAGAACAAATGACTTAAGCTGAAGAAGAAGAAAAAAAAAAAAAAAAAAAAACATATTCCCTAATTTAATATGCAAACGAACATACATTTAACGAAAACAAATAACCATCCGTATATGTACTTATACATATAACGCAGCATAAAATTGAAAAGGGGAAAGGAAACCTGGCACAAATACATTTCACCTCATTTGATGTCATACAAAACTGTGCTTCTAATAAATGTCATACGAACGAATCAAATAAAAGCAACTGCAGGGAGATGATAAAGAAGCTGCAAGTAGCTACAAATAACCGCCCATATTTTGATGCCTCTTTTTTTTCTTCTACTCGGGACGGGCGAGGGTACCCCAGGAGGATTACCCAATCCGCTGAACGAACCCCCCACCAACTAATTCTGAATTTTGCAATTCCACAAACCATCATTCAAGTAATGTATATTTTCAATGCAGATATCTTTGTTGACCTCCAAGCTGAATGGGAAAGAGACAAAAAAGAATTATGTATGATGGGTACAAACGGTGTGCGAAAAACGAGGTAGTCTCATTGGTTCTTATCCGTACATTTCCTTTGATGACATGGTAGTTATTCCTAGGGCACACGCGAATTCTTTGTCCTCCGCTCGAATTTGCTACGATAAAAAAGGGGGAAAAATACAACTGAGAGGAAGGTGGTCAGAGACGCGCCGGTTTGGCTATATTCTGTTCCATACATCTACATATATATACACCTTCATGCACATGTATCCTTACGACCACGGTGTTTGATTCTACGTCGTCTAGCCTCCCACCGGGGGATGTAACTCCTGGACACATTATATTCGACCCACGCAGGACGTTTTTTATGGCTCCCTTGTCAACTTGTATCTGTGGCATCATGAAGGGGTCTACACAAGGGGGACATAAATATGAGCATAAGAACATGTGCCGGCAGGATGCGGGTAAGAACTAGAGCGTACAAAGAGGGTCTATGCAGTGGAGACTGGGAGCGGATTCTATGAAGACACACGCGTAAGGATTCATATAATTTTTTATGCGCCCCGTTAGTGAAAAGAAAAAGAAAAAAATGCCATTCTTAAAAGGAAAAAAAAGGGAAACTCCATTTGCTTCTCACATTTGTGCACTAATTTTAAGTTGGGCATCCAAGGACCATTCCTTATTTGAAAAAAGAGCAACTCATTGTTCCCAATAATTACAGTCACGTGGTTTATGCTATAAAAAGGTAAAGAGTAGCCGGGGGTGGATAGACTAACATACGCACACTTGTTACGTTTCCACGCGTACGAATCATTTGGGTAATTTAATAACAATAGAAAAAAAAAAAATGAACAGAGTGGTGGTGGCCATTTTGATCGCCCCTCCTTCTCTTTTAGTACCATTTTCCTAAAAACAGGGGCCCCTTTTTGGGAAATATATCCTCAATGAAATCTTCTAATTTGGGGTATTGCTGTAAAATCTTCAGGGGAAAAAATAGTTTAATTTACGTGTATGTTTTTCCTCTAAACCAGCACGCGACGGAGTGCCCATGAGGAGGGGAATCCGCAGGGTACCACATACAACGAATACGCATAGAACCACTATGAAACCTCAAATAAAACTGGAATAGAACTAATGTAGAAGCGCAGGTACGCGCGCAACTATGTTGTTAGCTTTGCGTCGGTACGTCTGCGTCGGTACATCTACATCAGCACAGCTACGTCAGTACATCTACGTCAGCACATCTACGTCGGTACATCTACATCAGCACATCTACGTCGGTACATCTACGTCACTACATCTACGTCACTACATCTACATCGGCACATCCGCGTCAACACATCTTTGGCGCAAAACGTCCACGCCTGCAGTCGAACTAAAACGTAGCAAGTACGAGTGCTCTTTTTCCCTTTTTTCGACAGCGCCAAAGGAAAACGTACCGTTGCTTTCATACTCCTCTGAACTGAGGACTTCATCAAATTCTGGGAAGAAATATTGTCGGCGCAGAATCCCTTCATGGTTTTCAAAGTATCTCTTGTCAACGCTTCTATGCAGAGTTAACGAGTAAGCCTAAGCTTTATAAATGGCACAAATTGGGACGCACGAAAATGTAAAAAAAAAAAAGTTATCATAAAGTAATACCACACTATTGCTAACTATTGTTAACTATCTCTAACTATCGCTAATTACCGCCGACTTTATCGAACTTTCTTGAACCCCCGTACGACTGCTTAAATTTTTTCTTGCTCCTCGAATACGTTAGAATAATTTAATCTCCCAAGAAAAAGTGTCAGAACCATATGAGAAGAAAAAAATTCGTGTTAATTATCAACTTAGCGAAGCGATATCGTGGGGATGCTGGTCACCTACTACATCTACCGTTAAATGCTCCTTTGATGTAACTTATGCACAGTCGCTTCCAACAGTGCGCGTCGTATTTTTTTTAAAAGGCGGAGGCAGTAAATCTTCACTCTGCTCAAACGTACCCAAGTATGCAAATAAGTTTACAATCCCTGACGCGTTCGCAAAAGGGAGAAATGAAAAACGCTAAATATGTTTCAACATAACCCAATTGAGAAAAAAAAAATCTCTTATAAATGGCACCAAAAAAAAAAGCAAAAGCGAAAGCAAAGAAAACCAAACGCGAATGGAAAGGAAGAGCAAAAGGAAATATAAGGAGTGTAAAAAGAGTTCTATCTAAAAACTGCACGATTGCAGGGGAAGCAAAGAAAAACTCAACATGTGAACAGCCGATCCCCCCCTTCTCCAGTAGGTGTTATATATGTACCGCCCAGATGATGCATACGTACCTTTGTGCGCCGAGGATCCCACTTTTCATAAACCTTCAGGATGGCTCCCCGGGCGGGATTAAAGCGTTTACTGAAAAAGCGTACTGAAAGACTACCGCGAGGGGGATAATACCCTTCCCCTTAACTAATTATTCATTCGCTATTTAATAAATTAGCACCAAAAAAAAGGAAAGTAAAATGGAGCAAAATGCGGCAAAATAGGTAACCATAAAAATAGTGAAAAACGAACGGGCAAAAATGGAAAATGCGTAATACACAAACACACACACTTCTTTGTTCACGTGTGCTCGTTTTGCCGCGCAAGTGGGATGTACTAAAAATTTCGAATTTAAAAAGGGGGCGAAGTAGCGCAGAGAAATGGCGAATGACGAAGCGACGATCTCTTGGAGAATCGCGCGAGGCATTAAAAATGAGCAAACTGATAGTTACAAAAAACACAATCACACAAATATCTGAATGGAAAAAGAATGGTAATAGAGATAATAATAGCGATAGTAATGGCGATGATAATGGCATAATAATAGCGATAATAAAAGCAATAATAAAAGCAATAATAATAGCGATAAAATAATCAAAAAAAAAACAAAGGGGAAACACACACAAAAGAGAATGAGCTAGGTAACGAATGCTGCAATGGTCTAATAGACATCTGCGTTTATGCAACTGTGCCCATCCATACATATAAGCTTGTAGATCTGCGGGGGAGGAGTAGAAGAATATTCTTCTCCATTCGTTAGAACAAATTGGAAGGAAGCCGAATGTTAGTAGATCCCCGATGGGTGTACAAAGCCCACAAATTGGGAAGTTTATTATTCTGTTTTTTTGCTTTCGAAATGTATCCATGTTCGCGTTCATATGCTTGTGTGCAAGTCCGCTCTGGAGATATACTTATGCATACTCACGTGTTCACATTGTAACCGGGGTTTTAACTTCTGACTAGTCTGAAATACTGGGACCACAGAAAAGGTTCGCCTTGGTCAAGCAAGGGGAAAGGAACAAAATTTGTCACTTATATCCCCCTCTTCACTCACGCCTTCTCTCTTCGCCGGCGATTTCCTTCACTTCACTGGTATCTTCATCGGAGTTCTTTTCATTTTCTTTATTTTGTTCATGTTCACTCTGGTTATCATTACCCTTCCCATTGTCGTTGCTGCTTCCGTTGTCACTTCCATTACCACTTCCGTCGCCACTACTATTGCTGCCTCTTTCTCCACTACCGCTACCGTTGCCATCACCGCTGCTTCCGTTTTCCTCGCGCTCCTTCACATCGTCCATTTTAGACTTATCACTCAGTGAGCACATAGTCATAGGCAAATGATGCGAAATGAAAAACGACGTCGGAGTTCTAAACGAATCTGCATTTATATCCATTTTATTACATTCTAAGTTTTCCAAAAGTTTCGACAAAATTCCATCCTCACTTAAGTCTTGCATAGACCTCAACTGGCTTTTCACGTCATCATTCGATATCATCCTTCCTTCGATTATTTTGGCGAATGCATTTAAGTTCACTTCTACTTTGTTCAGGTAGTCGAGGAGGCCTATCCTGTGTTTTATCCCTTCGATGATCTGGGGAGAGTGCACAGGGGGAAGTTACCCATGTGGAAAGTAACCCACGTGAGGGGTCGCGTTGGTCCAAAGGCATAAATGAGCATGCAGAGAAGTACTAATGAAAGATAGCAAAAACTCAAGAAGGTACACACGAAGGGGGACCCAAACAAAAGATGTCTCAATCACGCGTAGGTCACCCGTCCCTTACCTTCTTCTGTATCAACTTCTTATTCTGCTTATTCTCATTTTTCCATTCTTCCCTTATTTGGTTAAGTGAGAACTCCAGGTCCACGTCCCACTTCATGTCCTTCAAAAAAGGAAAAAACAAATAGCACAGGAGTGAGCCGATCTATACATTTAACCTCGGCGGGGGGTTTACCATCACCACCATCACCCCTCATTCAACTATGCACCTTTAGGTAATCAGACATAGTATGATATGGTGTCATTTTATTTTATTCTATTCTTTCTCTTACCTGAATCAAGCTCGCCACAGTCAGTCCAGTTGGGTCGAACTTATTCTCGGGGGGTTCCCCAATGTTCGGAATGGAAATGTCATCAACGTTCACATCCAATTCAATGTTGGATTCCTTTATCTGGTCAAAACTGAGGTGAAAATCGCTGACAGTTTTTTCACCATACAGGGAAATCAGAGAACTAATCATGTTATTAGGATCTACATTTATCGATTCTAAAATTTCTGAGATCTTATTCCACTCCTTTATTAGCATGCTCATACATTCGCTCTGTTTTTCCCAGTACTGACATATCAAATTATGTTCTTCAACTTTTATTTCCCTTTCCTTCGGGCTCATTTTTGGCTTCACATTTTCTTTTTTTTTCTGCGAGTAGGGGCGTCAAACAGGCATAGGTGAGGAGTGCGCTTAAGCGTGTTCACGTGCGTCCTCAGATATGCACACATGTATCCACCCTCATGCATGCCCATGTTGCAAAAATTAAATAATGAACGGGAGTCGAATATACATGTGTGCGATTTCCACTCGTTTGCTTATCCACACACAACGCAACAATCAAACGCATTTTTTTTTTTTTTTTTGCTATTCCCCCAATAGGGAGCGACACAATTGTAACTGCTTCACGCGCAACGAATTTTTATCCACATTTTTTCGCCTATCTCCACCTACCAGTGCACTTTCTTTGGAGGTGTCCGCCGCATTGGCCTCTGAAAATCTTTTCTTAATTTCGGAATTTATTTGGTTCCCTAACAAGGCTATCAATTTGAGGATCATTTTTTTCCGCTTCTCGTTGAAGACTTCTTTAATTTCTTCCTTTTCCATACTCTTTAAAACGTACTTGTAGTAACTGTTTGAAACCTACGAAGGTGAAACATTTACGAGGTGAAACATTTACGGGGGAAAACATTTACGGGGGAAACCTTTAAGTGGTGTAATCGCCGGGTGGTTAACTTTCATTTGGGGGTGCAAGCACAAATGGGAAGGGTGTCCAGCCTTATGCATCGCTACCCCTATGAATTGCTCTCCATATGCAGCTTACCGTGTGAGCCAGGCTCATCAGCTTTGCGCTGTTATTCTTTCCAGGCAATTGGGAGTAATCTATGGGGTCCAAGTTGTAGCTCTCGAAAGGGTTCGGTATGTCATATTTCTCGAGCAACCCAGTAACATGCTGAATTTTTTTTAACTTAATTTCTGTAGCATTTTTTACTTTATTTGAATCCAAAACGAGTTTCCTATTTGGTTCGCTTTTCTTTTCCTGTCTCAGTCTCCTTTTCGGCTCATCAAATATCGAAGCCCTTTTTTTTTCCGTAATGCTTTTGTCAATTTTTAAATTTCTTAATTCTTCCGATAGGATGTGATCTTCTATTTTTTTATTTAATTCTTTCTCATTATCTTCCCCCTTAAGAGACTTAGTTTTATTTTCATTTTCCCCCTGCGACTTGTTTTCCTGGTCCCCTTGGGACAACTTAAACTTGACGCTTAGGGACGATCCGCTTTTGTTTCTGAGCGACGTTCCCCTGATTATGGACTTGAGCTGTGCGGAAGGCGGTGCAGAAATCAAAAAAGAGAGAAAAAAAAATGAAAGAGAAAAGCCAAATGTGTAAAACGAATAGGTATATATTTGTGTATGCACCACAACAACGGATTGATGTGCACAAGGCGGATTCACCACTACGGGTGTATTACATTTTTATCGTTTTCTCCTCCGCTTAGGGACTCCTTAGATTTTTCCAGTGACTCTGCGAGAGAGAAGGGAGGCAGAATTAACAATAAACACCGAACGATGAAATATGCAACCCAACAGTAACGCCGGTGGATGAATAATTATCCCTCCTGGAGGGGGCAAGACGTGCCCCACAAAGCGACTTTTTCATCGCTCACGTGCAAAGGCAAACCTTTCAACGACTCGTCGGACTCCGGAACCACACAAGACGCGATATTAGGAATGTCATCGCTCTTCTGATGGTACGTAGTGGTTATAATGTGCTGCTTCACATTATCATTTTGATTAACGAAAAGGGGCGAAGAGGACTGCAAAGTAACATGAGTAACATCATCATATTCACGAACCTCAACCACTGACTTTGGAATCAGTGCATATATTTTCTCATCTAAATTTTCGTTCTTTGACAGTGCCTTTAATGCATAGGGGTCAACTTGTTCGTTTATCGGGATGGCTGTACTATACATTTCGGCTAAGGACTTTCCATAACTAACTATGTTCTTTTTTTTTTTCTTTACTTGTTTTTTGTTCTCAGCTGGTAGTCTGATGATTGTGAGCGCGCCTTTTTCTGCAGTTGAGAGGGGGAGAAACGGGAATGGAATGGGAAGCAACAGAGTGTGCAGAATGGACATTGCAGAATCGACTTTGCAGAATGGATTGTGCACAATATGGGGCCCCAGATGTGTCTTCCGTCCGGAGCGTAGCCCCCGTCACAATTACTGCACCCCTCCACTATGAAGGGCGCACATATTCCTCATGGGCATACCGCTTTTCGAGTCGTGCGAATAGCTCCGCTGGTAATTTCGCCTATTCTCACGGTTATCCATGTCTAATGGGAGTAAGGGGCACAAAAGCAGATTAACACACTAAGCAAGCGTTGGGGTAAACAGACGCAAGGTTAAAAACAGGAGCGGACTTACGCAAAGATAAACACACGCTGGGCTAAGTGCCCCAGGGGGCGTACCTGAGTATGAGACATCGGGGTAGTCCTCCTCCCGGTACTCCTCGTAGGCAGAGTTCACTTGGGACGTACACTCCTGGTCGGGGTAATACTCCTCCGAGTATGTCTCAAACGCGGGGCCATAAGAGTCTCTTTTTCTACTGTCCTTTGCGTAATTCATCATTGTATCGTGATGGAGTCTCTTCACGCTTCTCTCTGGGTAGTGCTGATAATTCATTTTTCGGTTGGCATAATTATGTTCCTTTCTGGGGTTGTAATGATTCTCATCCAAGTCAACATCGTCATTGGCGTTTTTGCTCATACGTTCCTCCTCGTTGTTATTCACATTTTCGTAAAAAAAATTGTTCAAGTGATTACTATTATTATTATAATCCTCTGATGAGGGGTACCTCTGGTAGTCTTCATCATTTGGAGGATCATAGTTCGTAGCTTTCTTGCCTTTATACGTCCCTTGCATATTATTGTAACGTTTTCTTACCTGTTTAGCGTCCTCATATTGAGGGGTACTACCATATGGATTTGCACTTTGCGGGAGGGACTTATCCCTCATATGGTGCGTATTAACAGCTGTATAACGCTTAGATATTCTATTGGCACTACCCAGGTTAAATGTATTCACATTAACCGCGGCCACGTTTGAGACGACATCACTTGCATTCTCCACGTTCCGGCCTCTCCTCTCACATGTCATCATATTCGCTTTGTCATTACCAAACTCGGGGGATACTTTGCCCGAATCGACTGTATTATACTGGTAACTTTTCGAAGGAGCATTCACATCTGCCCTGTCAAAAAATCTTTGCTTCTCCCCCAAGTTGGCATTTCCACTCCCATTAGGGGCATTACCTCCGTCTTTCTTAAATGACTGCTTAGTGTTATTACCACCTGCGTTATTGTTCACGCAACTATTGGTGGTGGCGACACCTACCACTTGGGGGCAGTGATTGTACTCGACTGTGGAAAGATATTCATCCTCCTCGTTATCGCCTAATGGGGCACCCCTGTCCAATCCATTAATGCCCTTTTCATTATTGTTAGACGAATTTTGGGGATATTTTTTATCTTCTCCTTTGGTCTCACCCAGGGGGGCACTAAAGTCGGCTGAGTTTTCCTTAATGCCCTCCATTCGATCCTTCATATGTGGGTCGACAAATTTCGAACCAAATTTTTTGTCAAAAGCATTTTGATGAGAAAAATTCGAGTCTATTGTACTTAGGGAAAAATTCTGGTGCTCCTTTCTGTTTCCATCTTTGTCAACCGCGTATTTATGTTGAGGCATATTTTTCTCATTTTTCGATGCATTGGGGTAATGGGCATACATGTTTCTTTTCATATTAGGGTTATGATGTTTCAATGCGTAATTATTAGGGGCTCTTTCGTGGTTCATAACCATGTCGTCATTATGCCTGCTATGGTGTATTCCTTTTTTGGATCCATTTTTTTGGTTCATCATGGCGCTTTTACTATTAGGAACATTTTTATTCCTCTGGAACTCGTTATGTCCCAAACCTGTTGCTACACCGTTATCACTCATTTTGTTATGTTGGATAAAATTTTCCTCATTCAAAATTTTATCCTTTGGCGCTAGTGTGTCGTTTTTATAGCTACCCTTTCCACCCATGACATTCTTCATATTGGGCTTACTATTTTGTTCGATCTGATTTTTCTGGTATAGTTTGTCCCTTCCCATGTAGGAAATGGGCTGAGGTGGTAGGGGTGGTACCGCCCCTTGTGTTCCTACCCCTGTTGTTCCCACCGGAACTGTCCCTTGGGGGGGATCCCTAAAATCGGCATTGCCATACTTGTTCATATTTCTGTTCATCTTGGAGTAATTATAATTCCCCCTATGATCCTTGTTACTTTTGGTATACATTAAATTCTTCTTTCCGAAATGATCGAAATTTTGTTTCTGACTATGTGTCCCCTCCGCGGCACCTCCTTTCGCGTTGTTAATAGCCTCCTCGGTGTTGTTTCCGGCAGTTCCACTTGGAGCTTCCTTTAAATCGTTAAACTTGCGATGCGGTGCGCTGCCACTCGCATTGGGGACAGCACCTTTGCTAGCCACCGCATTATTTACAGTGTTATACGCGGAATTCGTTTTTAAACTATTCTCCTCATTATAGTAACCTATTCTTCGAAACTTGGATCGATCCTTCGTCAAATTGTTATGATCGCCATACTTCTTTTCGACGTAATTTTTACCAATGTGTTCACTCAGAACGGTGTTTTTCGGCTTGACAAATTCCTTTTCCTCATTATTGGTGGCGTTTAATTTTTCATAATAATTCTTCTTTTTCAAACTACTGCTAGCGTTGTTATAAACTTTATTTTTTATCATATTTTCTTTGTCTAAAATCTTATTCTTAACCTCTATGTTGCTGTAACCATATATCGTTTCATCATTCATCTCCTTTCGTCTATTTCCATTAGTTGGAAAATTTGGATTAACCATAGAACTGGGATGGTTGGCTCTACTATATGTTGTATGTGTGCCAAAAGTTTGATAAGTTCTGTCTTTTTTTATTTGTAAAATGTCGTTCACGTTTTTTTTCTTTTGTATATTCGAAAAGTTTCTCCTGTTGGGATTATGCATAGTGTTTCTTGCTTTGCCTGGCGGAGCCTACTACACGTGTGTATGCATATATGCGTGTAGCGACGTGCACATGGGCAGAAGGCTTTTATGTGCTCGTGGCCCCGGTGCTACACTGCGGTGCTGCGGCTCCGAGGGACGCATACGGTGCAAAAACAAGTGCACAAGTACAGATGTACAGAAGCGCAGATGTACAAATGTACGTCTCCGCGCAGATATTCATACCCACACGTGCGCCTATTGGCCAGTAGCGGATATGCCGATTCGTTAACGCTTGCACGCGCGGGGCCTCCCAACTGACGCAACCAGAAACAAACACGCTGAAACAAATAAAAAAAGGATGAAAAGTCAGAAGGCGCGGAAAACTAACTCAAATGCGCAGAACCATTAAAAGTACAATGGTTGGAAAATAAAAAAAAATTGCGCAAATGTATAAGTGCAGACATACACAATGCCGTGCATGTTCATTCACCCTTTATGCATCTCGTAAATTTTGGCTATTCCTACTTTCCCGTCGATGTGCCATTTTTTGTTTATCAAAAACGTTGCAGTTTCATTTTCAAATGACAAAGACATAACCGTGTCATTTAAAATGTCACTATTTTATTTTTTTTTAATCTGTAAAATGGGGAAGAAATGGTATCTCCAATGATGTATTTTCCTTTTTTTCCTTTTCCCTGGCGCAAATTAACATTTTTTTTTTTTTTACATAATTACTCATATGCAATTTTTTAAGCATACATTTCCGCTCATTTATGCAAATATATGCATATAGTACATGTGAACATTTTTCCTTTTGCTTTTTTTTTTTTTTTGCTGGGGTTCCAGTGAAACTACTCTTAAAAGGAAACTAAAATGAACATTCACATTTTCACCCAGTAAAAAGATAACAAAAAAAATGATACTAAATTGTGCTATTTGTTGCGAAAAAGGAAAAGAAGAAATGCGCAAAAGGGATGCCCATACCCGCCAAAAAAAAAAAAAAGCGATACGATGAGATACGATTGGCAATATGCATATATACGATGCGTTACGGAGGAGTGTGAAAATTCCCCACCCCATCCGTTCAGCAAAAAATAAAAATGCTGTTCCGCGAAAAATAAGAATTGTGAGAAAAGCATAATCAGTGGTATGTCCTTAGCCCCCTTTTTTTAACCAATTTTACACCTTAAAAAATTGAAGCAAAGATGGAGGAAGAATGAGTACATTTTTTTATCATATTCTTCCGCGACATCTTCGTAATTTCCTCACTTTTTTTTGTATCACCATATGGGATTAACTTGTTTTTTTTTTTTTTTTTTTTCCTTCCCTCTGTATGTGTGTGTGCAAAGTTCTGCCAGAATGTTTTTCCGTGGACATTACTTTCTCCCTCACATTTCAAACTTGCCCTTAAGTTATTTGCAACATGTAAAACTGATGTGTACACGTGTAAACATACTTATGGCTTTATTACGTAATTTTATGCTTAAGAATAATTACCCCCTAACCATAAAAGGGGGATCATTCCCCCATGATCTGAAAGAAGAGCTACCCCAATTTTTTTTCTCTGTATGTGTCATTACTGTCCTACTTAATTGTGACACATGATGATTGCCCTGACAATTCACACACCTTCCGTTTCCAGTTTCAAAAAAAAAAAAAAGACAAGGAAATTGTCCCAACTTTACACCTCAATTCGCTTCCATCAATTCCGCGGGAATGTATTCTCACTAAGTGGTAATTTCCGTTGGGTAAAATGACTGCGTGGTGCTGTGGGTATGCCACTGTACTATTCACACATTGACTAATTTACAATTTGGTTAAAGTTTTTGTAAGAAAAAACAAATTAAATAACGGCGATATGGAAAAAAGAAAGGAGAAATTCCTTCAAAAGGGGAATCTCGATGTTATAAAAAAACAAATGGACAGAAAAAAAAGAAAACCAAAAAACTGTAAAAAAAAGATTCCCACAACGAGGAGTTTACCACTTTTATGTGATCAAAAAAAAAACAAGTCCGTGAATAAAAATTTTCGTAATATACAGAAAGGTGTACAGTTACAAAAACGTGTTGTGGAAAAGAGCTGGAAAAAAAAAACAAAAAAAATGCCTAGTTAAAAGTACGATTTCCTTACTCCAATCTTTTTCAATGTGTCCAAGTACGCCACGCTCTTCGAACTGGGTATGAATCCGAACTTCTTGTGATCGTCCTGTGGCAAAAGGGGGCAATTTTTCGTTTTTGCATCACATCCGCGAATGTGAAGGATAATTTCGAAAGAATGGTTGCACAGAGAACACACACGTGTGCTAAAAATATGAAGATGTGCATGTGCTTATGTTGCGCTTGCGGTCAAGGACATTTATACGCCACCGCATGTGCAACTCCTCTGGTAGAGGCTACCCAAACGGTACAAGCACACACGGAGAGGGTTATTCCCCCCCCCCTTGCTCCTCTCGCCGTTGCTCTCCTATTACCGAAAAGATCACATTGACAAAATTTAGGACCTTAATCTTGTAATTTTTCAGGGGCGTCTTTTCAATTGCGCTCTTCAAATCCTCAACATCGAAAAACAAAGGCACAATGTCTTTGGAATCCCGTTGTAGGTAATACCCGTCTACATAAAAAATAGGACATACCAGTTCGCTTCTTTTTTTAAACGATAAAAATAAAAGTGCATTTTGAATTTGTCTCCTTGATGGGATTAATTTCCAGCAGACATTATTCTTGCTCACATGAGGATTTCTCTTCTCTGCTTTTCTCAAAAGTAAAAATTCGTTTATCAGCTGATAAGCCTTCTGCATATTCAAGTAATGTATTTTTATATTCCTGGCATTTCTCACCCCATTGCTATTTATTAGATCGTCCAGCATACTCTCAGCATCGTGCGGACATAGAAAAAGGTAACACACTTGTTTTTCATTTTCGTGAAATATGTAGGGCGAATTATTATAATTTGTCAATATGTACACTGGGATGACTTTCAGCTTCTCATCTATGGACCTCTCATGATATTTCTTCTTCCAAAAGTTCAAATTTATTTTACTCCTTAATAAGCATAGGTTTCTTTCGCGTAGCCTTCTTTTGTACCTTATATCGTTACATACCAATAAGCGTATGTCCCTTTTAACTCTTGTGTTTATTTTCAAGCCTTTCAAAACATGAAACATATATATACAGAAAAAAAGGATCAAACACATCTTGGGATATTTCTGTAACCCTATCGTGTGATGCCTTAAAGACTGCCTACCTATGTGAAAGGCATACGTGTGCAAGTATGGCAGAAATTTCCCTCGATCATGGGAGAGGGGTGGGTTGCACTAGAGGGACTACATATATGTACGGGTTAAGCACGTTGGGATGGTCTTCCTATGGTGGAAGTAGAGCTGGCAAAAGAAAAAAAAATCGTTTTTCTCTGTAAGTCAATTTTGCTGAGTTCTTTCTCTCCTATTTCGAGTATGGAATGCTTACAATTTGGTGTTATGTCGCACAATGCGTGTGGGGTTTTCTCTATGAGTGTTTTATTCCCCAAACCGGCTGCGCATTCGGCGGTCTGTTTATATCTATGTGGCCCTGTATCTGCGCGTTTGTATGTGCGCACTTCTGCAGTGCGCTTTTTTTTGACTGTGCTTTATACATACACAGTTTGGCAACATTTGGCGCCACTTAAAAACCGCGGAGGCGTGAAAAAAAGGGAAATGGTTATTTTTTTAAAATTTCCACATTCACCTTTTGCGCGAATCCCCAATTCGGCTGCATTTTTGAAAAGGCAACACAGCATAGCGACGTGTGAATGCGACGTGACAAAGCGTCGTGGCACGTGGTATGCGATGAGATAGGAACATACAAAGCCATACACCCGCTCTTCGTGATGTGCCACATTTCGCGTGCGACAAAGAGTACGTAAACCTCCCTAAGCTAGCGGGAGGAAATATAGAACGGAATTAACGCTTGTACCATTTTGCAAATTTGAAAAACGCCTCGTAGGATTTACCACACTAATGAGCTGTCACTCTGGTATATAAGCATATATAAGAAGAAAGAAGTCACTTTTTTTTTTTTTTTTTTTATGCCAATTTGATCCATCTACATTTTGTTTAGGAAAAATCAAGTTTGTACCTATCCTGATCGAAAATACGCCTCCTCTTCTTAAATTAGAAACAGACTAGTTACTCACCTCCACGTGACTCATTCGCTACGTCATTAGTAGAAGCAACGATGCAGAGCAATTTTTATCATGCCGCATTTCGTATCGTGTATACTTAAAAAGGGGCCATATTTCAAGACGCCGGACGAGTCCTAAGACCAGCTGCCCACACATGTGTGCCTCCACGTTGCACAAAATAACATATATAAGTTAGGCCAAACAAAACGATAAAACTCCTTCCACTTCGAATAATCTTTGGCTCATGTTTTTTTCACCGAGGCTTCGCACAATTAGCATTGTCTCTGTGTCCGTTTTTTTTCTTACAATTTTTTTAAGTTCTATTTCTCTTCGCCACAATGATAACGCGGTTAGGGGAGTGGGTCTAAAAAATGGCCACCACTCAAAACATCTAACATCTCAGAACGCATCACCGATGATTTACCAAGCATTCGATTTTATGCCGAACAAGAGATTAGCTGGAACTCGGAGGAGACGAAAAAGGAACGCCCTTTCTTTTCTCAATTTGGAAAAAAAAAAATTACCACACCTCCTTTGTTTCCACAGTGAAGATTGCGAATACTGCAACAGTATGGAAAAGCTGCTAACCAAATTAAAGGACGAAGAAGGGGTTAACTTTTTAAAATTAGAAATGTATGAAAATTCATACAACTTTGAGTTGCTGCAGAAGCTGGATTATGATAATTTATGTGGGGGGTTGCCTTATTACTATAACTTGAAGACGCACTACAATATTTGCGGAGCTACGACCTACCACAACTTGAGGAACTGGGCTCTGGACAAGCAGTGCAAGTAAGGGAGAGTGGGGCGTACGCGGAAATGTCTGAACGATGCAGCACGCGCATTCGTCGTAGCAATGTGGA